GCTCTTTGACTCTGTCTCTCTGTTTCTCTTTGTCTCTCTCTCTCTCTCTGTGTGTGTGTCTGTCTCTGTCTCTGCCTCTGTCTCTTTCTCACTCTCTCGCTCTTGCCCTCTCTCATTCTCTCTTGTTCTCTCTCTCTCTCTCTGCCTGCTACCTGCCAATGAGGATGTGAGCTCTCACCCACTGCTCCAGCATGATGCTTGCCTGCCTGTCACCATGTTCCCTACCATGATGATCATATACTAACCCTCTGAAACTGTAAGCAAATCCTCAATTAAATGCCTTCCTTTAAAAGTTGCCTTCGTCATAGTATCTCTTCACAGCAATAGTAACTCTAACTAAGGCAGTGGACTTTGAGGATTCAAGAGAATGGTGAATTTCCTAACTTTCCCTATCTCCTTCTCTCCCTCCCTCCTTCCCTCCCCCTCCCTCCCCTCCTCTGTGTCTCCGTCTTGTGGCTGTGGATCAAGGCGTGAACTCTTGAGATGTTTCTTTGCTCTACCATCATGGACTTTAACCTGAAACTATTCGCTAAATTAAATGCTTTCTTTCATAAGTTATCTTGATCATGGTATTGTATCACAACAACAGAAAAGTATCTACAATACTTAACTTTGGGGAAAATCTTAACTATTAATGATAGATACAGTTAATAATGGAAATAATACTGGGGTAAAGGGGAGAATGATAGTAGCATGTATATAAGGAGAAAGATAATCTCTTTAGAGTAGTGGTTCTCAACCTGTGTGTGACGATCCCTTTGAGAAACCTCTATCTTCAAAAATATTTACAATCCATAAATTACAGCAACTAAGTCTCAATAATTTTATGGCAGGGGGGTTTCACCATAACATGAGGAACTGTATAAAATGGTTGCATCATTAGGAAGGTTGAGAATCACTGCTTTAAAGGAAGATGCTCGGGAAGATGCTAGGTTCAACTCTAAGTACCGTAAAAATGCCACCCCAATGAAACCATCTCGTAGGAGTTTAAAAAAAACAAAAAACAACATAATTGCCCATCTTTAGAATCTTATCGGGACAGTGCTTGAGAAATCTTTTAGAAGAAAACTTTCAATGGGTAAGAAATCTCATCTGAGAATAATTCTAATTGCATTGTGCCCTAATGTATAAGTGGCTGGGCACATCGGCTCATGCTTCTACCTCAGCTCATAGGAGGCAGAGCTAAGAGGATTGTGAAGTCATTATCAGTATATTGTCTTAGCATGCACCTTTCATGCATGGATGCAGGAATTTGTATCTCTGAACCTAATAAACTCCATCTGAGGAATTTGGAGAATGGAGACTCTGTCTCAAAACAAATCAACCAGCCAAAGAACATAAGAAGCTGGCAGGCAGTAGATTCCATCCATGAAATAATCCCCAAACTCTTATTTTCTCCACTGGAGTTTCCCTATACTAAACTGTGTTTTCAATATTTGGGTTAAAGATTATTAGTTCTACAAAATGTTACAAAATACATAAAACCCCATAGGTCTTACTCATCTCTCCTCGTATCCCTAATCCTTCTTTCCTTCCTCCCCCTTTCTCCCTCCTTCCCTTTTTTCCCTCCTTCCTTCTTTCCTTCCTCCCTCCCTTCCTTCTTCTTCTCTCCCTTCCTTCTTCTCTCCCTTCCTTCTTCTCTCCCTTCCTTCCTCTCTTCCTAACATCCAAATCTATGAACCTATGGGGGGGGCATTCACATTCAAACCACCAGATCACCTGCTGATGATACACTGTTAACGAGCCTAAGTCAAACGTCAATTCACACTATCTTCTTCGAGACATCATTATTGACATACAGTCAGTGGTGTGCTCTGATGCACTAACTAATTTGCATCCCCGAGGTTATCACACAGTCACACCTTATAAACACCAAAAAGAAGAAGAAGAAAAGAAGAAGAAGAAGGAGAAGGAGAAGGAGAAGGAGAGAAGGAGAAGGAGAAAAGAAGAAGAAGAAGAAGAAGAAGAAGAAGAAGAAGAAGAAGAAGAAGAAGAAGAAAAAGAAAAGAAACTCCATCTCCCATGATCATGTCCTGTAAGCTGGTGTCTAAAACTCTACCACACTAACACTAGTTATTCCCCCAGGAACCAGTTGAATCACAATAACTTCTTTTTCCATCCAGCTGAGATACGCTATTCAGTTCTTATGTACCTGCTTTTCCTGCTACGTTACATCTCTCTCTATGTGAACATATAGCAATGCTTGAGGTTACAAGTTGCATAGAAGACACTCACCGGGCTCCTTTTCCCTCCTCTGGGTCCTGTACTGTCAGCAGTGGCTGTGCTACTTTGCTGTAGTTCAGGTGGAAGTAGGTCACTCACTCTTCCTCAATAGCATTTTCTTTTCATTCACTTTCTTACTCTTACCCTGAGTTTTCTTCTGCCTCTCCTCCCCCTTCTTTTAAACCAGTTTAACATCAATATGTTTCTGTACTCAAGCTGTAGCCAGAAGTTGTCTTAGAAACGCTTGCTCCTCCAAATGTGAGGCTTGGGTTGATGAGATGGCTTAATAAATAAATTTCTTGTCACAGGTCTGAGTTTGAATCCTGAGGACTCAAAGCCAGTCGTAATCCTCTTACGCCTATAACAAGATGGGAGTCAGAGACAAGATAATTCTGGGAAGTTTGTAACCAGCTAACCTGCATGTCTCAATGAACAATAAATGACCCAGTGGAAGATAAGAACCAACACTTGAGCCTGTCTCTGACCTCCATCTGTATACACACACATGTATACATCTTCTACATGCTTCTACAGAAGCATCATATACACACGCACACATGTAAAAAGATGTGGTCGACACATATACTAACACCAAGTCTTGGGTCTCTGTGGAAAAACATTGAAACAGAGGGCTATAAGCTATTATAAACAGGCAGTTTTTGTGGAAATTTACCAGCCTGAGTAGTCATAGACCTTGTAATTAGGTAGCCTTGGCAGACAATACCAACTTAGATAAGGACAAGTGAATCATAGGCAGAGTCATAGTTGACCTATCCCCTGAACCTTCACCCAGTCGATACCTTGTTCTGGAAGATATATGTACTCCCCCTGAACACCCACACTTCGGTGTCATCCCCTTCCCCACATCCTGCCTTTTTGTGTTTATAACCCCTATGTAAGTAAGTAAAAATTATGATTGGGTTAAAAAATAAATAAAAATGTATTTTTTTTTAAAAAAAAGATGTGGTCAAGAAAAACCAGCAGCGTTGGCCTGAGTCTGCTAGAGATGCAAACTGTGACTTAAAATCTATATGCTACACACTTTCTTGGTGAGTAAGTCATTCAAGATTCAAGAAGAAATCTTGTAGAACACCAAATTTCTTTCAACCAAGGTCAAATTCATAAAGGTATCAGTAGAGACTCTTGGAGTCAGTGTGTAACTCTGTGGGGCATGCTGAGAAGGCTGGCAATTAGTGAGGAAGGAAATGATGTCATTCAAATCATACACTAAGACTGATTATGATCTAGTGTAAATACACAGACTACTCTACTCAATTTAAAAGAAGTATCTATATTAAGAATATTGAATGTCACTACTGATATTGAACCTAGTCATTTAGATTTGCATGATTTTCTATGAGATGCAGAAGTTTGTCTGATGTTTTAAAAATATGCCTGGAATCTGCCCATTATTTTCATAAAAATTTAAATATCATTGCATGAAATTATTAAACATTAATTAATATGTGTCTGCAAAATTAGCCTGGAAACACACATTTCACCAAAGGCATCTGTGACAGTTCTCAGACTCTTCAAAAGGAATTTGAAACATATGAAGTGTCAAGTATGAAAAAGGATCACATCTTCAGGAAGAGTAGACAAATCATAACAGGTGACTTTAATTACTGCATGGAACCCTGAAAAGGGTTGTTGTTGTTGTTGTTTTGTTCTGTTTGTTTTTGTTTGTTCTTTTTAGAAAGAATAAAATAAACAAAATTCAGAGCTTTATTAAACTCTCCTGAAGATGGTCTGAGACAGACATAGTCCCAGAAGACTGAATTGGTGCCAACTCACACATGAATCACGAATCACAAGCGTGTCTCTAACCATGCTCAGGGGACTCTGTGAAGTGCACACAGAATGAAGGAAGCAGCAAATTGCCCATGATGGTGTTTGAGGACTCGCCTCCATAGATGAGGCCAGTGGGACCACAGATTCTCGTCTCATTATGGTTCTATTTTATGAGATGCTTTGCTCTGGCTCAAAGGAAGAAGACAGGACCCCAGAGTGAATCAGGCAGTCTGCACAGCAGGTTTTCAGGCAGATTCACAAAGCGCCAGCTCAGTGAGTAGGCCCCCAGAGCAATGGCTTCAGGCTGCTCATCCCTGCTGAAATTATAAGCAATTTGTGTATTGTAAATATCAACTGATTGTAAGACCTACAGAAATATGCTAAATAAAAAAATGGGGAAACCCTTTCTTCTGTCTGTGTAATTCTGCAACTTTAAATACTGCTTTCCATTTTTATTAGAAACAGAGCTGTCAGCTGCCAACTGTCGGAAACCTAGCAATTCTTAGTTTGAATTCATTTCTGTGGAATACATACAGAAGAAAAGCAAGTGAAGAACACTGTTTTCCTTTTTCTGACTATGA